TTTGAAAAGTGTGAAAATAGTAAAAAAACGTTTCTTCTTCTTTCTTTGGTGCTGAGTTTTCTTCTCATGAATCTTTGTTGTTTCTGCTCCTAGTTATACTAGAAGAGCTTATTGAATCCTGGGCGATACGCCTAATATTATTCATCTCGGTGTGAGCAAAATATCCTTAAGGACAATGTCTTTGACACGCCTCAAGCTAAACCTTTTATTCTCCATAATCATCCAATTTTTCCAACAAATTTTAGATTCAAATCTGTATCTATCTCTGAATATATTAAGTTAAAATTTTGAATCTAATATGAAAGTCACCAAGTATCAATAGCGAAGCCACAACTAACAACTTGTTTGAATGATTGTTATTTGTTGTATTGTATCGTATTGTTATGTTATGTTAAATATAATGTTTGTTTTGATTGTTACGGAAGTACAATTCAAGGTAAGCATGATTTTTATCCTATAGAGTTACAAGATATTTATCATTCAATCCGTCATTACAGAACAATGAAAAGTGTCACTTTATGGAACGATCGATTTGGTATGGTCGCATCGTTACTTTATTTTTTTCTCTCATTTTGACCTTAATTCTTTATTCTTGAATAATCCTATTTTATCTTTTACTCTACCATCTTATATAATAATTCTACCTCGTATATTTATAGAATTACAAATTTATTCTTTATATTGTTGGTTCATATTATTAAACAACGACATACAATATAATCTATCCAAATATTATATACATCAAAACGATACAGTACAATATAATATTTTGAAATTATACATAACAATCATCCAAACAAGTTAGTAAGAAAGAACCGAAAAAGTAGGCTAAAAACAATTTCTTTTTTCGTACCTATATTAACTTTCATATGTGAGCAAATATGAAATCAAAAACATATTCTTTTGTGACCCTACTTATACTGCTATATATGAAAGAAAATTTCCCTTTCTTGCCACCTAGTAACACCTCATATGGACCAGAAGACCATTGAAACTTGTGAAACTGACAAAAGAAAGATATAAATAACCATTTCTTTGTTAAATCACGCCGTTGGAAAAATCAATAAGGCAAACATTTGGCAAATGGTCCCAACAATTTGTGATGGGAGAAGCGAATTCTTACTTCATTTAAATTTTACTGGACTTAGTTTGGCATCTTACTGGGGGAAAAAATCTAAGAAAAAGAAAATGTTGGTATAGGTGCTATCCTTTTCTTATCCCTGCCATGACAATGGGACGGTAAAGGTCGATGAACAGCTAATAATTTCTTTTCTTTTTTTAAATAATGGTAATTTTAATTTCAAATATACTTTTTACTAGAACAAGTATCAGAACACCAAAATTTAGACAAAAAAATTCATCCAATATAACTTTTGTTGAGATTTGAACCATAATTACCAAGATTGCTGTTATATTTTTTTGCGGGATCTTGTTGAATTAACAGCTAATAAAATATACTCTATTCTTTTTCTTTTGACAACTTAAGAAATTTAAAGAAAAGGCTATAATTAAATTTCTTCAATGAGCTCAAAGTTTTTGCCAAAATTTCGTAGTCGCACATTCCCCGGGAATTTCGGAGTAAAGTAAAGGTGACCACAGAATTTTCTTTAATTTTGTCAAGATGACCACACAATTCAATTCTTCCATATCTTCTTCTTGTTTTTGTTCATCTTCCTGCAGGTCTTCTTAGTTGGTCTTCTAGAATGTGTCCACAGCCAACTTTCAGACCTCTACCACTTTGCCATGGCTCTTCCTTGGATGTTGTTATCCTATATAACAATGTTTTACGGTAACGGCTAATATTTTTTTAAACTAATTTTTAATGTTATGATATAATATATATATTTTTTATAACAATTTTTTGTTATAGCAGCCAAAAACATATAAAAAAAACGAGATATATGGAAATGTTTGATTGTATATATACTAATATGTTTGGCATGTGGTTTATGGCCTGTACAACATAAAAAATAAATACACCTTCAGGGTTAGAATATATTATTTCCTCCGGTCTACTTTAAGTGATTTTTTGGCTGTTTTAATTTCACACATGTTAAGGAATTCACTTTTTAACATTAATTAATAATTTAATTGATCATATTAACCTTAATTTGTTCATTGAAAATACAACAAATACTCCTAGGCTTTTTACTCTAAGAGCAACTTTAAAAAAAAAAGCTAAATCTTTCTTGATATTTGAAAAATATTAAATATTGACCACAAAAAAGATTAAAAAATCACTTAAAATAGACCGTAGGAAGTATCATATTTGCTAGTTTAAGTTCTATCATAACAAAGACCTAGAAGTAATACTTTCTTTACCATTAGGTAGATGTACTTATAATTTACATGTTTTTTTTTCTAAAGATAGAAAATAAGAAAAATAATTAAGTTTAAGGTAATTGTGTACCGGTAAAATCGGGGGCAAAGTTCTCTGATGAGGAAACATGGGGGAAGCATGGCTCGACGTGATTATAATCAAGGCCCAAGAACTTTTGTATCGAAACCTGAAGGAACGAACGATGTATTTTAGATCGGGCACGGTGAAGTAAGGGACTCGTACCAAGTATAGCCTCTGGACTTCGAAAAACGCGGAAAAGGGTTACGCTTGACGAGTGAGGGCCCGTAATATTCGCCCTCAACCGGGTATTACAGTGAGAATCCCATTCAGTATCAACTATAGATCGATATTTACCGAAAAAGAAGTTTTAAAACTTATTTAGACTTGTACTGAGACTGGAATTCCCCTACCATATAAATGAGAGGTTTTTCTTCAGTTTGACACAGTGTGAGGGGCAAATCAAATCAATAAAAGTTTACTTTTGTCTTATAGCTATTGTTCAAATTAAGCATTATTCATTTGTTCTTTTCTTTACTCGCGACTGAGCTTGTACCGAAGGTCCAATCGAGGATGAATTCCACTGTTCAATCTAAGATCAAGCTTGGTCACCACATTGTATTGGTTTGATCACTTATTTTGTCTTTAACTCATTTACTTGTTGTTCTTAACCATTGATATTAAATTAAATCGCATATCCTTTAAACCGCGTACACATTTAACTGTTACTTATATTTTGGGTAAACAAAGCTATTAATAGTGACAAATTTAGTACACGTTGAAAACTCAAAGTAAGTAAAAATTTATAATCCATTCATAAGAATAATGCACATTTTTATTGAAAAAAGGTTAAGTTTGGTCAACACTTAGTTGTATGAAATGTAGTTTTGCAATCAGATAATTTAAAAATCAATTACGTGTAAACATTTATAGAAAAAATTAAGTTAATAACATAGGATAATATTATAGGTCAAATTTCATTAGAGGCAAAAAAAGTACATTAAGATATTTTTGTTTCTGTTTAAGTCTTGCTAGACATAGTATGTGATGCTTATATATACGTGGAAGGACGCTAATTCAATCAAATGGTGCGCACAGCTTGGTCGAACACTATGGTTATAAAATAAGAACAAGTATATGTTAAAAAAGTGAAAAAAAAATAGATCATACTATATAGCATGTATGAGGGATAAAAGAGAAGTACTGTCACACATTAATTGGTCAGAGAGTGGCAAGAATATGTGCTCTTTTATGATTCTTTTTCCTTCCTCCTTTCTCGTAGGGCATAATTGAAATGCTTGTACTGACATTTAGTTATTATTCAAATTTCCAAGTCAATGAATTAATGAATGCAAAGGTAAACGCATGCCACTGCTGTTAGTCTTTTTAGTCTTTGTGACAAACTTCAATTCTCTTGCCCCAGCATTACGATCTGAAGAAGTGACTGTCTAACCACTTTGGGTATGTGGCTTTCATGCACCCTAACAATTTTTGGAATTTTTCCACACATATATATATTTTTTCAAAATAACTATGGTGTCTGAATTGGCTTGTACGTACCTCAACTGATTTTATTGGATAACTGCTACCTCCTACCAGCAACATATAGAGACAACTTTATCCATCAAGGTCGCTACTGATTTTGACCCTCATATTGTAATTTATTCAGATAATTGAGCAGTTGGTTAACTTTAATTATTTTGATGATAGGACCAATATTTGGGCCATCCTCTTGTTGCAATCGCGAAAATTCTCACATGTTGATCACAAGAGAATAAAACTTTTTACCTTAACCTTTAAGTTCGAGTTTGGTTAACATGTTAACCAGTTCAGTTACAGTTAATTAGAGCTGACTATTTAATTTTGAACTTTTCATTCTTAACACGCATTCTAAAACTTTGAAATTTTAGGAATTCTCTACCATTTCTATCGACTTACGCATACTTATAAACAGATTAATTATAAAAACTCTTAACACAAATAACGGCCTTAATGTAAGTGTAACGCAGAATTAACTATGCTTAATTCAATAAAAAATGATCTTATGAAAATTCGTTGTGGCAGAATTTGTTTCCATTTAGATAATCAATTTGGATCATATATGCTCCAACGGTCTTGTGAAAAACATGAGGTGCTTAACCACTAGCTAGCCAAAGTCTTGGGACCCTCTTGCGTAGGACATGAAGCCCTTATTGTATATTTGAGCTGTACCGATAATAAATTAATAATACATAATAATTATTTCTATTATACCATTCATGGGGCGCAGTGAGATAGTTGAATTCCTTTGTCCGGAATAAAAACACTCGAATTTTGCGAGAATGAATAACTTTTTGGTAAGAAGTGTTTAGAAGCTTTTTGCTCATTTATTGAACTTATTCGACACCAATTTGAAATAGTCGAACCCTTGGATTTTGATTATAAGATACCTTAATAAGAATTTTTTTTAAACAAAAATAGCTTCCCATCTAACCTCTTAAATTAAAATTATCAATGAATGTGCAATATATGTATAGTTTGCATATAATATATGTATAATCGTATGTAATCTATGTATAGTAAATAAGTAAAATAGACGGTGAGCGCGGTCGGTTATTTGTATAAAGATCCCAGAAATTAATTAGTCTTTCTACTATATGTCATGTCTATATATTAGCTAGCCCTGAAACCTTTCAATACACCTGCAGAATACAAACTTTCTCAAAGACAACCTTTGAGTGCATTCTGTTCAAAAATTCTCTTCTCTATTTTTCTTAAAAGAAACAAATCCTAAGAGAGTCATCATCAGTATAGTCATGGCTCTCTCACGTAGTCCTATGATCTTTCTCTCCCTTTTACTTACGTTTGTAGCTCTCACTGCTGCTCAATCTCCTATGATGTCCCCCACAATGCCACCATCTACCATGTCAATGCCACCAATGACCACCACTCCTCCACCTATGGCCACCATGTCACCACCACCAATGGCCACCATGTCACCACCACCAATGGCACCGCCAATGAGCCCAATGGCACCATCAATGAGCCCAATGGCACCATCAATGAGCCCAATGGACTCACCACCGGCTCCTATGGCACCCGGAATGGCACCCATGGGACCAGGGCCAGCACCGGGACCTATGAATGGCGGAATGGCTCCTCCTCCTCCGTCTAATGGTTTTGTTCATGGAAGTAGCATGGCTATGGTAGCAATTCTTGGGAGTGTAGCACTTTTGTTTTAAATTTAATTTGCTTTCATATTGTTGTAGATTAAAAATAATTTACTTATTTGTGTATTTATTTTGTTAAGCTCATTGTATTGTTGATTTTGTGTGGAAGAGTGAGGAATTTGAGGACGTTTGGTTGGAGATTTATCAAATGTTACATGCTCTATTGTGTAACATTTTGAACATTAGCTTAATAAGACACTATTCTCTCTTTCTTTCAATTTAAATTTCTACTTCAATGCTGCTTGTATTGTTTTCATATGAATTTCCAAGTTATAGGGTATTTAATTTTGAGACTAGATTTAATGCAATATTTTAGTTTCCTAAAAATTTAGGAGAAGTGTTTTGTTAGATTTTTTTATTTTATGTTTTTTATTTGCAATAATGGCTAGTGCTAATTAGCAATTTTCATGAGTTGATATGAAAGAGAAAAGAATGGAATAAAAGATAAGCAATTGGTGGTGGAATGATGATAAGGTAGAAAAGATAGGGTGCTAGCTAGCTGGAAAAGAATAAAGCTTTTTCTTTGTGGGNGAAGTCCTTTTGGCATATCTTTTGTGTGTCAAAAGGAGAATGGGCTAATTTGGTGGCTACACACAAGCATGGGTTGGCTGGTGAGAGTGGGGCTAAGTAACAACAAAGGGACATAAACTAGATTGTGACATCCACATGGTATGTCATATGCCCCTCTCCCCACTCCTTTGTCAAATATACCATCCTAATGCCCAAGCCTAAAAGGAATATAGAAAGATATTGGCTTAGACATATACTCCCTCCGTTTACTTTTAGGGGTCTGTTTGGTTGGAATACGGATTATGCCGGTATAAGTTATGCCGGAATAAGTTATGCCGGAATTAGTTATGATGGAATTGTTGTTTATTCACTGTTTGGTATGTTGTATTAAGAATGACAATTGCATAATTTCTAAGAAGAAGGTATGACTTATACCGGTGCTAATTACCCCACCCTCTAAAAGGTATAAGTTATCCCGGTGTTAAAATTAACACCGGAAACTTATACCTGGTTTGCTAACCAAACATAGTATTAAGATGGTATTAAATTTTTATACCACCCCTATGCCTACTTATACCTCACACCAAACAACCCCTTAGTTGTCCATTTTTTACTTTGCACTCCTTAAAAAAAATGAAATATGTATTTTATAATTTTACCCATAATAATGTTAGAAGTTCCAAAAGTCTTGGAAAATGACTTGGGAATAGAGTAGTTAATAATAAGGGTAAAACAAGAAAAGAAGATTATCTTTCTCTTGATTTAATATAGTGTACAAGGCAAAATGAATGGAGGGAATAGTTTGTTCCTGCGGTGTTGTTAAATTCCTTTTACACCTTTTTTTCACGAAAAATTGTTTGCACACTACATTTGCTACGGAATGTATTTAATACACACCACTTTTGTTCAAATCTACTAAAACATTATGTCTGGTGTGAACATCCGCATGACATGCAACATTTTAGGTAGATTTCTTGCAGCTCAATTAAGTGGTTATTTGTTTGGTGGATGAGTTGTTAAGTATAAAAAAGATGTAAATATTATATTTCCTTTTCACACAAGAGGAATGAACCCTAAAGAATTAGGAGAATTAGATTAATTTCTAGAAGAAAAAGGGCGTCTTTTGACTTTTAGAGTTGTAGGTTATAAGCATTGGATTCCATCTCAAAACCTAAAGAAGCATATATGAGAATCAACAAAAAGTTTTTGTTATCTTTTGCTTCTTTTTTATCCTCAAAAAGGCCATATAAGAAGAAAGCTGTCATCTGTCATTTTCAACACCAAATTTTGGAATTGGATCAATACTTCCAATTGAATAAGTATGAATAAAGGATCCATGGATGAAGATAGAAAGTTGATTTCTAATCGTAACTAAATCTTCAATTTCTTATTTGTAAAGAAGAAATTGAAGCAAAATAGCTATTAAACGATGACTTTGGTTTACTAGAGACATCAACATATTGTTTTAGCTCGGTGGAAACAAAACCCTTTTCCTCAGGATCCTATTAAATAGAAATAGAGAACGAAATAACTAGAAAGGTTGTTAGAATCCCCCTCTTCTAGAAGGATCATCTACAAAGCTATTCGTTTTATCTGTATTCAGACCAAAAGCTGACATAGATGTTATGGGTAGAATTCTTTTTTTTTTTCGAATTTTGTTCACATCTTAGATCTATAAATTGACTCATCTCCATAAAGGAGCCGAATGAAACCAAAGTTTCATGTTCGGTTTTGAATTAGAGACGTTAAAAATAATGAATCGACGTCGACTATAACCCCTAGCCTTCCAAGCTAACGATGCGGGTTCGATTCCCGCTACCCGCTCTATATCTATTTATTCTAAATATTTTAATCATGACGTGCCAAAATTTTCTGAGTTATTTTCATTCCTAAATCCTAATGCACCGCAAATTTTTCTGAGTTATCTTTGATAAGAAGTTTGCTCAATCCCATTTTGGGAAAATTTTCTAATCCTGATTATTTTTCAGAGCACAATTTTTTGGCACTATGCTAAAAATAATGATCAATTTATTAAAGCATACCTCTTTTTCAATAATGTAGTATGTAGCTAATCATCGTAATTTTTGCCAATTATAAGCATAAGTATCGGAGTTCAGCCTTTTCTCGGAGTGGTAAAGCTCGAGATTGTAACCCATGAACATGCCAACTTGTTTACCTCGAAAAATGAGGTAACAATAAAATATGATTTGTAATTTTAAAGATATGTGATTTATTATAATACTAGTGAATATATACGTAATATTGAGTTGAAATAAGAAAAATTAATGAACCAAACCAGCGTTACTATAATAATGAGGACCTCGAGCTTGGCTTACTTGGGGACCTCGAGGTCCGCTAAGAATAATGAAGTGTGAATAGTAAAGTAAAGCAATAAAGCTGAAGAACACTCGTTGAGCACGTTAAACAAGAAAAGCAAAGTAGAATATTCTATTGCATTGAGTAATGTGAGATGATCTTTAAAAATGATAGGGCTCTCCTTTATATAGGAGGGGAAAACCCTAATATAGTACATTTCCAATTATGGTGAAGAATTCTATTGATACATCTCTATAACAACCTAGTACGGACTTGTACTATTTCGTACAAATCTTATATCATAATTCATGCCCTGATCCACGTGTCATTGAGAAATTCCCGCTCTTTCTTGAATGTCCTCGAGAAAATCCTGCCCTCGATGTAGGTCATGTCAGGCCCACGATCTGCTTCCTCGAGGTGTGCACATCCAGACCAGGATCGATTCTTACTCCAAGCTTCCCGAACGCGAGCTCGGGATATGATCAAGTCTTTGAAATTGAGCTCTCCAATTTTAACCGTATACATAACTGGTAATAGGAGGATAAATACCTCACTGACCCTAATAAAGACCAACCAAAGGCACCTTTCGTACTAGTATATGATTTTAGTTTCCTAAGGATAACACCGTTTTGGTGTAACGTAACATTAATGAAATCTTTTGACTTTATTAAAAATGGAGCTGCACCAAATTCTTACCGCAGTAAGTTTAGATTTTACACCAAGATTTTAAATTTGGGCAACTCGTAATCTTCTATTCTCTTCTCTTTCCAAATATGGAGAACTGCACTGAATGCTTATCCAGCTGGTGCATTCATCAAATTATTCTATTTATCCTAGTTAATTGATGGAGGGGAGCTTTGGAGCAGCAGTCAAGTTGTCTCAGTGTGATCTATATGTCAGGGGTTCGAGCTGTGGAATCAATCACTAATGCTTGTATCATGGTAGGCTGCTCACACCACACTACCTTATATAATGCAACGCTTCCCCAGACCCTGGGTGAACGTGTCACCTGGTTGCCCCTTCATAGTTAAATAATAAACTGATGATGTAAAAATATATATTAAGTAATCATGATATAGCGAAAGAGTGTGCTTAAAGGCACATGTTATATATATTTATAGAAATTAATATAAATACCAGGTGTACGTAAATAAATTTTCTGCAAAGAAATTACACACACTTCCCTTTGTAGACTTGAAAGTGAAACACATAATTCAGTTATGCTTCATCCTTTCGTGACTAAACTCATGTATTGTAACATAATTAACAAGTGAATCCTTCATGTGTGTTTCTTTTTTGCTTTTTGTTTAATAAATCATCCAGACATAGACATAGCACCTGTGTTGATTTTTATTAATAATATCCTAGTGTATTTTATATTATAATAAGACTGGGAAAAAGGAGAGGAAGTGGAAACTTTAGGAAGGCTTGTGTACTAGTGTTACTAGTCAATCTCTGCGAAGGTTTGTGTAAATATTCTAGCTTATATACAACTGTTATACCCTGTTTCAATTACACAAAGGGGATGCTAAGGTAGAATTAATTCAGCTCAAAATCTCAAAATTGAACCTCTTTAGGCGCATTATTTCATCTTCCCACAGAATGCTTTCTAAAGATTTTTTTTTTAAAGAAAAAACTAAGGGCAAAATTTAGCATCTTGAAGTAGAGAGACAAATAAAGGAGGTATTACCCCACGAATTGACAAGTCAATTGTGCGCAACAATGAGGGAAGCTCAAAATTGCTAAAGGATTCAGTATCTCATGAAAATTGCTGTCAAAACTTTAACTTAAGGAAAAAAATAATTTATTCCACACTGCAATTAACAAGTTCTTAATGTAAATTAAAGTATAAAAATTGCATATCCTAATGCGAGTTCATATTAAATCCTTTTTTCCGGTCATAATTCCCGTTAAATCTAACAATTATAGGATATATAGTCTATATGCAAGTGCATGGATGAGATTGTTAGCTTCAATAACGCAAATATTGGTGAACATCCAACGCCTGAAAATCTAAGAGTTACTCCACGAGATTTCTTCATATAGGATGCGAGTCAAAGCCTAATATCAGACCTAAAAAGTAGTCGATGGATAACATGTGAATATTTTTGTACTATTCCTTAAATTGGTGTTAAAGATGAAGGCTAGCTAGGTTAGCCAAGAGATGAATGTAGGAAACCTGAACAATAAAATTTCTATAGTTAAGTCATTGAGAGAGTGCTCCATCATATGGGCCAAAAAAGGACGACATTTGGATTGGACAGCTCTCAGAATCATATCTTCTATTTCTATATATATATTCAAGTCAATGACTAGAGAACAAGTGAAGAAGCTACAAAGTACAAGATCACTCTCTATTGAAGTGAGAGGACATAGGTTGTCCTTGAATCTGATCTCTTTATTAATGTGC